CTGTGCTTTTCAGTTTATACCTATGGCTGTTTGGGCATCCTCAGGGGTTCAAAGGAATCGATGTTCTTTGAATGTGGGGGACAGGAAGAAATCTGAAGGGGCAAGATCAGGGCTAGGGGTGGAGGAGGTAAGGTTTCCAAATAAGATTCTCACAGGACAGAAGAATGAAGAGGTGCATTGTCATGATGGGGGGGGTAGGGGGGGATTCTCATCACAATTTTCCTGACCAAAGCAGTGTTCTATTTCATCAACACTTCTTTATCGTAAGCCCCTGTCATCTTCCTGTGTCTTTTGAGAAAAATCTATCAAGATTAACTCTTTGGACTCCCTTAAACCGCAGTCGCCATAACCAAGAGAGCTGACCTCTCTGCTCTGAGTGGACCTGGACCAGCAGATGCCCCTTGAAGCCACTGTTCTGATTAGACCTTTAAAAATATATATATAAGGTACCTTGACAAGACTAAGACATATGTAACACTAAGAGAACTTGTCTGATGCCATCTCCTGATCACAGAGGCATGTTTTAGACATGTTTTGTTTGGAATAAACGCACCCACGTATGAGCTGGAACCCCAGTAGCAATATTTTTTTACTTACCCTCATATAGCCAACAAATCCTCTGGCCTTACTAGACCCATTCTCTGAGCCTGTAGTAGAATACCTCCGCTACTCCTTCGTTAACATTTACTGAGTACGTACTAGGGGGTGGACTCTGTGCTATGCGTGGTAAATCAAAGATAGCTAAAACATATGTCTTTCTTTAGAACTCAGGCAAGGGGGAAGAATGCAGATGATTAATAATCATCATGAAATGGGAAGTGCTGTCCCGCCCTCAAACTCCACCTGCTTTTCCAGGGGAGATCTTCCCAGACCCCCATCTCAGAAGTGGAAGCAAGAGGAGACCAGGTTCCTAGGGGCTCCAGGCCCACCCCGCAGGAGCAGGAGCAAACAGCCGCTGACCTCTCTTCCTCCAGCACCTTGCATCTAGCCAATCAATATTCAATTCAATAGCGCTTAGTGGTGGTCTAAGTTGAGTGATAAAGAAGGGCAGCACAAATATTTGTCATCAAGGATCTACCATCGGACCAAGGACCAGTGAGGAGCATGCCTGTTGACATGGCCAGAAGTGACGGTTTTTGCAAAAAAATTGCTCTTGAACATGGCTGATCCTGAGTTGTAACCTGGAAATTTCCTTAATAAAGCCCATAATCATTTAAAAAAATGGTTTAAAGAACAAACAAACAGCATGTACCATGTATCAAGAGCAGGTGGATTTTTTTTTTAAGGGATAAACAAAGAAAAATCTAACTACCAGCTTCTGCCATCTCAAAGCCTAAAATCTGGTTGGAAGTCAAACATGTGCAAGAGCACTGTTTGGGAGTGTGCTTGGGCAGGACATCAGTCCTCTGTGCCTCCGTTTGTCCATCTCTAGGGAGGCATGGGGCCAGAGTGCCCTCTGGGACTGCAGGATTCGCGCTGGCTGACGTTTGTCTGCTTGGTTTGGTTTCCTTAAAACTAAGACTTCCTCTTCTTTGAGGTGATTTCCGTCTGAGTGAGGTTTGTGAGAAAGAGAAGAAAGGAAGTAGGACAGAGTGGGGTAGTAAGGGAAGCAGGAAGGGAATGGGGTGGGAACTGCAGGAACTGAGAGGAGATGAAAAAGGGCCCAATAGAAGACATTGTCAGAAGAGCCCTTCTTCGCGGGCTCTGGGAGCTCTGGTGGTGTTGGGCGTTGTGCAACCACAGGATCACCAGTTCCAACCCGTCAGCTCTTCTATGGGGAAAAGATGAGGCTCCCACTCCTGTAAAGATTCACAGTCTTGCAAGCTACAAGATCAGTTCTACTCTACGCTATAGTGCCCTGTGAGTCAGAATCAATTGTACGGCAGTGAGGTTTTGGGGTTTTTTGTTGTTTTTTATGCTAGTGCCAAGGAACACCCTAGAGGACAAGGAATGGGTAGCCCAGGGCCTACAGCCCAAACGACCAAAGGAGTGGCTAGGAAAGGCTACTCAGAAGGGGTCACTTCAGGATGGCTGAGGGCCCTCTGGCCTATAAACCTGGCTGAAGCAGGAACAGGAAAGGCCCCAGCTAACCATGAAGCCAGCTGCAGATGTCCGTAGGCACCACAGCACAGTCAGTTCAAGTTGTGCAGAGCACCCTGGCCTCATGCCGGCCTGGAGCCCGTGCATCTGACATGGCTCTGAGCCCCAGCCGCCCGCATCCATTCTCGTGTGTATGCTTCGTTGACCAGCAGATGCTCGGGCTACTGAGGCATACTACAGAGCAGAGCACTGCTGGCCCGGGATGCTGATTAAATTCCTAAATCCTGTTCAGAAACAGGGCAACTTTCTCCCTAATAGAATTTTGACATTCCTCGTGATCCTCAGCGACTCCCACGAGGTCTTTAATCTCCAGCGGGGTGCCAGCGGGGAGGATCCTAGCAGCCAGTTCTCTCCCTTTTGTTATAAGCAAAACCCTTGAAAACAGCCTCTGTCCCCTGGGAGAGAATTTTGCTCTCCTACTGTAAACAGAGTCTTGCTAATTTGTTTAAAATCTACTGTCATGCTGACGGCGGGTGTTTGTTTGGGGGAGGTGTGTGTGTGTGTGTGTGTGTGTGTGTGTGTGTGTTTCTTCCTCTGAAACCATCACAGTTGAGGGGGTCTGAAACACTCTGATTTATTTTAAGCCCTCCCTCTCCTCCCTCCTTCTCCTTCCCCACACACAACACGTGGTACAAAGGAGCATGGCATGTTTGTTCTGAGAGCAGGTGCCAGGCTTCCTCCCGGGGCCCCTGCTGCCGCCCTGCAATGATCCCTCTGGCTGCCTGAAGGCACTGTGCTTCTCACCGCTCAATGCCGCCCTGTTGGACGTGGAGCATGACTTGGACTGGGAAAGAATGTGGAAAGTGTCCCCCTGCATTTACAGCACCATCAGGTTGCGAGGAGGAAAAAAGAGATCCTAACCTTGCAAGGTGGAAAAGCTACATTTGAAGAGTGGACCAGACTTCAGGTGCTTTCTGGAGTGTGTAGTTCATCAAACTCCCTCGCCTGGCTTTTCTTTCATACCACTCAATTCCCTCTGAGTGGCAGAAGCAAACAGTTTTTGTGCTTGCTGCTGCTGCTTTGTTTTGTTTTGTTTTTTCATTCAAAACATCTCTCCTTACTCTGGTGATATCATCCCAGGAAGGCTGAGATGTCAGAGGAGGTGAATCATGTATCACCTTCGCATCACTTCTAGAATTACATCAGCCTGAGCCTGGAGTGCAGTGGGGATAGACGCTAAAAAGCAGAGGGAGGAGCAAGGAGGGCCTGCACAGGGAGGGAGGGAGAGAGAGAGAGAGAGAGAGAGAGAGAGAGTCTTTGCAGTGGATTTATTGTCACCGTCCTCTTCTTCGGTTTGTAAGCCGCCTCCCCTATTTCAGAATCAGTTAACAGGATAAGTCAAGACTTTAAACAGCAATCCTCTAATACCTGCTGCTGGTGTTGGATTAAACGTCATCTGTCCAAACTTTGTGACCAACCACCAAACCCATCGGTCACAGGTGAAAGGTAACCTTGGACCTTCTGGACACATCAGGTATCAGAGTGACTCTCTTCACCCTGTTTGTTCTCATCATTTTAAACAGAGGCACTTGGCAATGTGTGGGAATAATGTCAGATCTAGTCAGGCAGGACAGTGGTGCCCACACAGCTGCCCGCCCATGGGGTGAGAGTGTGTGGAAGAGGCCTGCCACCGCCGAGCTGGCCATACAGGTAGAGCAGGGGGGTGCGGGTGGCATTCCTGACCTCTCTGTGCCTGTGGGTTTCAAAATGTCATCCAAAGACAAGTGTCTGTGGTATTAGCCAACGACTGTCAACCAAGCCAAAAATCAAATCAAACCCAAGACCTCAACCTTGTCTGTGCGTCCGTAAGTAACTCAAGTGTGTTAATGAAACATTTCCCACCCACTCCACTTTGCTTCTCTCTCTTAAAGAAAGTCTTTGCCTGAGCCACTATTGAGAATTCGAAGGAAAATCTTTCCCCCTCCCTTCCTGGATGGAGCAAGAAAATTCCAGACACCTTGGGACTTTGGGAGTGAGCTGCTTTGAAGATATTGATGATGAAAACCAAGCAATCAAGTGGCTCTCTTTGCCTCCTCGGGACACAGGGGAAGGCCAGGAGTGAGACTCAGGGCTGCAACACAGCCAAGAGGCCCAAAGGGGAAAAAATCATTTGCAGAAGGCACAGTTTAGGCAGCATCTCATTACAATATCCAGCGGATTGAGTTTAGCCAAACTGGAGACATCTGTTTGAAGTTTACAACAGAAACAAACAGAGAAAGTATGAAAACCCTCGAACCCACACTGACCCAGTTCTAACCACTCCCCTCTGCCTTGACCTCCAGCCCCCGCCCCTCACATGCCACCCCCCATCACCCTTAGGTTCTAGGAAGGAAGGAAATGGGCTCTGCAGCCTGCCCACCCACCCACCCCACCTGCACCATGACTCATTCATGCCATGATTGGAACTGAGCGGCTTCCCTTGTCTTTATCTCCTCCCAGGAAAAAACCCAGACGGTCCCACTCAGAGAGGCCCAGAGGCACTTTCTCCTGGTCTCTGGCTCATCTCTTCAAGCGCTCAGGGCTGCTTGTAAAGGCAACGCTTACAGAGTGCCCTAGCTGATCATGACATGACGTGCCCCTAAAGAAGGGGGTGGCGAAACCACACCTGACCTTGGGAGTCACTCCTCCACAAATAACCTCACAGAGTCTGAGGAACAGAACCCCAAGTATTGGTTGCCATCGCCGAGGAGAGCACGGGGCGGACATATCCCATGAGAAGGCTTGTCCCAGCCACGGCATCCAGAGCAGAAGTCCAGGGAGGGCCAAGCCAAGGCCTTTCCTAATCGCCACCACAGCATCCCGCCACCCCAGCCAGCATTGCAGGGGCTCCCCTGTCTCTTCAGCGTGCCCCTTCATCCTCTCCCCAGTGGGGTGCAAACAGAACCAGAGCAGTGCGACTCTTAAAAAATAACAAAATGTTTTATACACATTTCTGTATATACAACTGAACATTTCACACGTCCCTTTTGCACAGCAAAAGATATAAACATTAAGCTCTGAGGACACAGTTATGTACAAAACAAAACAGAAAAGGAGATGTCAAAAATACTTCACAACAGTGCAAAAATATTTTACACAGATCATGGAGTGGGCTCTTTCGAGCAGAACGGTGTGTATGTGTTTCTAAGGAAAATTCCTTTTTTTTAAGATATTAGTTGTCTTTGTAAACAAAATGCAACTTTCATCCCCACCCCACCCCTTCCCCCCAAAAAAAAGTTATTTGAGGAATTTGGCAGAATGTCAAGGGTCTGAGTCTGAGGTAAACAACCCAAGCTCTCGCACCAAAAAGGACTGGGGACAGGGGTGGCATTGAAGCCTCAAACATGGTGACAGCAATTTTTGTTTTTTTAATGACAGGTCAATGACAGAGCCAGGCCGCTCCCAGTAGGGGCTGGGGGAGGAAGTTACCCCTCCTCCCAGGCCCCAGCAGCTCCACAAACAGGAAACGGGCCGGCAGGCACCTCTCGCCTGCGACTTTGCAAACTTCAGCCGGTCCTTTCTTTCCCTCTTCCCCCGCGTCGCGCCCCAGCTGCTGCTCGGGGCTCCGGTTGGGGGTGTCCCTCTGACCCACCACTCCGCACCTCGGCGGCCAAACAAGCAGACGCGGCGGGGCTGGGGGAGAGGGGCCCGGGCGCCTCGCGCCCCCTTTCCCGGGGAAAGGATGGAGGGTCCCAGCTGGCGCCGGGGGCGCGGGAGGCCGTGGCCGCGGGAGGCTCAGCCCGAGCGGGGCTCGTCCGGACTGGCGCCGTCGGCCGGGCCGGACGGGTCTCCAGGGGTGGCGGCGGTGGCATCCGGGCCCCCGCCCTCGATGGAGCTCTCGCTGCCCGTGCTCTCGCCCGACAGCAGGCGCGTCACGCGCAGGTCGGCCTGCAGGCTGTGCACGTCGTTGCCGAAGCTGAGCTCTCCCAAGTCACTAATGAGCTGCGACAGCTCGGCCTTCATGTCGGCGGCGCGGCCCAGCAGCACGGGCGGCGACCCGGCCCCGGGGCCCAGGGAGACGCCATCGGCCCGCAGTGCCTCCTCGCGGCCGCTCTCCAGCGTGTCCAGCAAGTCCCCGCATTCAAAATGCATGGCCACAACCAGGGTCCGCGGCGTCTCGGCCTCCTCCTCCTCCTTCTCTTCCTCCTCCGCACGGCCCCCCTCGACGCCATAGTCCTCCTCCTCCTCCTCCTCCGCGCAGCCTTCGGGCTGCTCCTCTTCCTCCTCCTCCTGCAGCTCCTGCTCCTGCTGCTCGCCGAGCAGGTCCTCGGTGATGGAGCCGAGCTTGGGGGCGCTGCGGCTGCGCTCCACCGGCGGCTTGTAGCAGCAAGGTCCGTGCAACAGCAGCTTGCGCAGCGGCACGAGCGGGATGGTGTGCGCGCCCACCAGCTCCTGCTGTTGGTGGCGCGCATCGTCCCGCCGCTTGAGGCGTTTAAATTCCGCCAGCGCGTTGGCCGATGTCTGGTAGAGCAACAAGGCCATGGCCTGCGCCTTCTCGGGCTTAGACACGAGCACCGCGTGGCACCGCAGCATAACCGCCTTGTGCTTCAGCTCGTGCCGGTAAACCCAGGCGAAGACCTTGGGCAGCCGCGCGTCCGCCACGCAGTAGGTCACCCGGTGCAGCAGGTAGAGGTGACCCGGGCGGCGCAGGGCGCGCTCCTCGGCGTGCACCATCCGGATGCCCTGCGCGCTCACCGTCAGCTTCATCTTGGTGCCCTGACGGCCCGCTTCGCTCTTGCTCCAGATTTTGCCCACGGCCAAGTCGGTGCAGCCGTCCCCGCGCGCCTGGATGGTGGTGGCATTGCCCAGGTAGAGCACCGTATAGGTGGGGTCCTCGCTGGTGATGTGCAGTTTCTTGCGCTTGGAGCGAAACATGCTGCCCACCCGGCTGAGCGCGCCTTCGGGGCAAGCCCGTGCCAGCGAGCTGAGCGCCGAGTAGTGCAGGCTCACCGCGTAGCCCTTGGGCTTGGACGCCTGCCGCGGCGGCGCCTCGGCCAGCAGCTCGAACTTGTGCTTCTTCCAGGGCAGCATCTCCGGAGCGCGCCCTGGCGCTGCTGGGCGGCGGCGGCGGCGGAGCGCCCGGTGCAAGTCCGGCTGAGCCACCCGGCCCGGCCGGGCTCGGCCCGGGCGAGAGGGAGCAAACCCTGCTGTGGAGCGGCCGGGTGCCGGAGGGCGAGGGGCGCAGGATCGTGCTCTGGAAGCCCGCCGGGTGTGGGGATCGGGTTTTCAAAAGACAAGAGGCAGCCGCAAGTGTGCAAAAAGTAAAAATATATATATAAATAAATACAGCCAACACGCGGGCTCACACAGAATGACTCCAGACTGGGCAAAGGCCAAGCGAGTCTGGGGCAAGCAAAGGCAGAGGAGGACGGAAAGACAGCGGCATGGGAACTCCCGAAGGGGAAAACCAGATGCGTGCGTGCAAATCGAAGGCGCCCCGGCCAAAGCGCCCGGGACGCTTCGCGAAGCGGCAGAGTCCCCGGCAAACGTGTCCAGGTACGGCCGGCGCACTCACGCACGGCCAGCCGGAACTCCCCCGCGAGTTGCCAAGGGGTCAAAGCTCCCCACCCACAGGGGGGCTGGAGGCCGCGCGCCCCTCCGCCGGGCTGGTCTCGGGGTCACGGCTGGCCCAAAGCGCAGTCGGGTGGCGGTCGGGCCGGCCGCGGCGGGCCCCGCGCAGCAGCCCCTCGGCGGCTCAGTGCATCTTCGCTCCGGCCGGGCGCTGGGGACTCGGGCTCGGCCGGCTCACTGTCCCGGCTGGCTCGGCCACGGCCACTCGGAGCTCCGCGACGGCGGCGCGCGCATGGTCGGCTCCGGGGTGGCCGCTACCTCATGGCTTCCTTCCCGGGGCCGCTCAGCTCCGCTCGCGGACGCCCCTGCGCCCGCTGGCCGCCTTCGCGGCGCGTCCTCCGAGTGCTGCGCGCAGTGGCCGGCTCGGCCGCCTCACATCCTTAGCCGGTGGGATGCAGCGCTCGGGTAAATATAGGCCGGCGCGAACCATTCGCGGCGCAGGCACGGGGGAGGAGCAGAGAAAAGGACCGGGGTGGGACTCGGACGCCGGACACCCGCAGAGTTCCCCGTCTCTTAAAGGGACCCGGTGGCCGCCATTGGTCGAGGGAGGGAAGAGACGGGTCCAATCCAGTGGTCACATCCCAAGTATACCTTCATCTCTTTTCTCTACAGAAATCTGCCAGACCTGGACTTGCCCCACAGCAAAAGGAACTTGAACTCAGACACTCCACCCCCAAGCTGAATTGTAACTCCCTGAATACGCGTCTAGATCGAAACTTCTGGGGGAGGTGGTGGAAGGTGGGACTATAAATTTCCTGTGTAAAGCAGTCAGGAAGATAGCGGTTCCTTCCTGTGTGACAGCCCTGAGAAGTACTAGAAGCCGTGTAATATTATTAAGATTTGACTACTGGAAAACAAAAAAACAAGCGGGAGGACGAGGAGGCAGCCTGCTCCCATAAAGATTCACAACCTCAGAAACCCACAGGGACGGTTCTACTGTCCTCCATGGCTCCCCGTGTCAGGGAGTGTGGTTTGGGTTGAAGAAGAGGGAAGAAAAATACCAAAGCTTTCTTCATAGCTGAGCATCAGAGAGTGAGAAGTGAAGTACGTGGTAATAAGGCCCACAGAATGGACAACGTAGACTGCAGCCAATAAATGCATTATGCCCTGCCCCTACCCCTCAGCTGGGCATGCTCTCGCTGACCTCCCAGGGCAGAACCTTTTCCCCCAGATTTCTGTGTGGAGTTAGAACTCAGGTTACTGTGACAAGCCAGCCAACCAGTTTTATTAAACCCTTGGCACATTTTGGATGAGAATTCCTAGTAAACATTCAAAAGGCCTTTTTTACTTGATTGTCCAATGATGCCGCCACCCTCCAGTGGGAGTGACCATAGCATCCATCATGCCTTTCTTCTGTGCTTCCAGACTGTCGTCTTACTCATCTGACCAGCTGAGTTCCAGGCCCAAGAAGCACCCTGCTGGGCTGTATACTCTGCACAAGCAAAACTACTAACAAAAAAATAAATGTCCAAATGATCCTGCAGTGTTTTGTCCAACTTCCAGGCCCATCCTGGAGAAGGACAGTATCCCACCACCACCATCACAACCCTCTGTATGCACTCGAGAGTATACACACACACACACACACAGCCACCTGAAGAACTCAGATGTCTGTGACTTCCAGGTCAGGCCCTGGTTTCTGAACTGGCACTCTTGGGTAAGTGTAGACCTGTTAACCACAAGGTTGGTGGTTTGAATCCACCACCTGCTCCAGAGAGAGATGAGGCGTTCTCCTCCCATAAAGATTCACAGCCTCTGAAACCCTATGATCAGAATTGACTCAATAGCATTGGGTTTGGCTTTTGGTTGGGGGTAGCCCCTTCTAAGGAGCTCTGATGGTTAAGCATTGGGTGGTTTGCTAACCACAGCATCACTATCAGTAGTTCAAGTCTGCTAGCTGCTCCTTGGGAGGGAAATTAAACTGCTTCCATAAAGATTTATTGTCTCTGAATCCCTGTGGCAGAAACAGTTCTACTCTGTCCTACAGGGTCACTATGAGTTAGAGTTGAATTAATAGCCCATTCTGAAAATACCCTGGGCTTCTACTTTAGCTAGCTTTTAGTCATTTTAGTCATTCTTTGAACTGGATACTTAATTTTATTATTATTATTGGCTAAGACTATCTTTTCTGAGTATGTATTGGTGCCAGGCCCTGAGCTAGGAGTTGCTAAGGAAACAGAGAGGAGAGAGATTCAATTCCCCTCTCAAGGAGTGCCTCGTCCTGCAAAAGTTGTAACTCCACCTACTCTACTAAAATATAGGTTGGTGAAAAACCCTTGATTCTCCAGTGTGTGATACAAAGGGCCACTCGATACATATTTTAATGAGTGAGATGCAAGTGTGAACCAAAAAGCAGTGTGAGCCAAAGATGCATGGGAAGGATGCCTGGCCTGGAAGAAGCAAAGGTTCTGTGTGACTAGAGCCACCAGGGAAGGCTCCAGAGAAGTGGTGATGCGTGGAAGATAGCAGGGTTTCTCCAGGCAGGAAAGGGTTAATGGGCTTTCAGGATGGGGCGAACAGCAGATTGGCAGAGATGTGAAAATGTGTGTGCCTGTGCAGATTAGGGTAGCGTTTAAAGATCGCAACAGTGAAAACAGAAGTTTCCTGAGCGTGTCTTTAGGGCTTCCCTAGTCTCTGAGGGACCAAATGACCTTTCCACAGCTGCCTGGTTCCACGGGGTCCTTGGACCAGAACTCCTGAGAGTTGTTGAACGTTACCAAGTCCGATCAAACTCATAGTGACCTATAGCAAAGAGCAGAACTTCCCCCGAGTTCCCAAGGCAGACAGCGGTATCTTTTCCCCACGGAGCAGTTGGTGAGTTTGGAGCAGTTGGTGAGTTTGAACCGGCAGCCTTTTGGTTGGCAGCCATGCCCCTAACCAGGGCCCCTTTCCTGAGATGTACGATGGACTCATGGAAGCACAGGAGACATTGTGTTGGCAGGAGCGAGCTGGACTACAATGGGTTAACCCAAGACTGAGTTCCCCTTTGCTCACATTTTTGGCATATCTTGTCATGGCAGTGTAGTAGATGGCATGTGTCAGTGTTAAAAACAATCTGGTAAAAACACACTTGTACGGGGTGACCTTTAGCTGGTCCCTAATCCTCGCTCTAAACTCTACATGTTCAAGCAGTTAACCTTTCCAAATTACCGGTGAGTCCAAGGGTCAAAGGGCTTTGGGGAGGAGACAGAGGGGCAATGGTGGGCAGTACTGAGAGAGCTAAGGCTGGCCTCAGTCTCGGCGCTTCACTCGCTATGAGGGAAACAAGCGGCCCACAGTGGCCAGGAGAAGGATTCCAACATCCAGCAAGGCTTTTCAGTGGCAGCCAGGCCCAGACACACAGGCCCACAGAACTGGTCTTGTTGCCTAGACAGCCCTGCCTTGACTACCTTTTTAACACGCTTATTTTCCACTCTGGGAGGGCAGCGAAGTTCAAGGCAGATGCAAACAGCACGGTGTTCACAGACCATGAGTCATGCTCTGGGCCTGGGCTCCCAGATCCAAGAGAAGGAGCAGCTCTCCTACCGGGCCAGGCTCTGGGGCCCACCTCGCCTTGTGGGTGTGCCCGCCAACCTCTGGCAAGAAAAGCACGCGGAGGTGGTGTTTCTTCAGTTGGAGAACTGGAAGGATGGGAGAGACCCTGAGGAGTTTGTGTGAGAGCCCGTGCCGCAGATCTGATGCACAGGGCAGCTCCAGAACAGAAGAGCTGAGAAACTGGAGTCAAAAAAAAAAAAAGGCAACTTCAGACTGGGTGGACTTTTCTTAATAGTACTGCCCCATCTACTGGTGCCAGACAGAAGTGCCACTAGATAAGATGGTTTCTCATGGAACCGGAAAAGCCTGTGGTGGAATCAACACACGGCCAAGTCTTCGGTGGAAAGAAAGAAAAAAAAAAAAAAACATTACAGAGCCCAACTCCCTTAGGTTCATTTGACACCTGAGAGTCCTTTGACCTCACAGCAGGCTGAGTCGGATAGCAGTGAGGACAGTGTTAGTAGGCTTTCCTGGGGGGGTTTCCACACTCTCTTTAACACTTCTCCCTCCCCTCCCTAGCACCCCACTCAATCTCCCAGGCACCCCGACTGACTGTTGCTCCAGACTTCAAATCTGGAATCTTCAAAGTCATTCTACAAACATTTATGCAAACCTAGTGTAGACATGACATAGTGGCTGGGCACGTAGCACTAAAGAAGTCAGACAGGTCCGGGCCCTCCTGGAATTTATATCCTGTAGGGAGACAGATAATAAACAAATAACGAATACAATTTCAGGTAGTGATAAGTGTCTGAAGACAAGAACGCGTGTTAAGAACAGGTGACTGGCTCAGTGTGGTAGGAACAGCAACCTAAAGGAGCCCGAGCCAACCTTGCAAAGCTCTAAGGAAGAGCGTTCCAGCCTGTGCTTTGCAGCATGCAGCCCCTTTCCAGCACCTGCAAGTGGGTCCTTCCACCGCAGAGGTGCTGGGGCTACCTGTTGGCCCATGTGAAAGCTCTTTCCGATTTTAATGGTTTCTTCTTTCTTCTCAGTGGAGGTTTTTCTATAGTTTGTTTAGTTGGGGGTGTTTGTTTGCTGCCTGTTGGTGTTTTGTATGCTTTTCTGTATGTGAATCTGAAGCCCAGGATAGGTAGATGTGTACAGTCCCTGACTAGTCATTGCAGGGCAAGGGAGGAGGTGGGGCAGGAGGCATGGGGAGCTAATAACAATGAGCATGAGAAGAAAATGTTCTGAAATTCATTGTGGTGATGATTGGCCCAAATCTTAATATGACTGAATGATTAAATTGTATATGTTAAGTAAATGCCAATTAAAAAATACTGTGACTACAAAATACACAATAGATTTTGAAGACTTGATAAGAAAAAAATAAATATGTAATGTTTTTATGTTTTACTATTGATTAGATATTAGAGAATGGTGTGGTTATATTGAGTCAGGCCTTGGGTGGCACAAATGGTTTGCCCTCAACTATTAACTATTAAAGGCTGGAAGTTTCTCTGCCCCTGCAAAGATTCAAGTCAAGTCAAATAAAAACATGTCTGACAGAGGATTTTTTCGTAC